AATATTTATCATAACAAGAAGAAAAGGGGTTATAATTATGAAAACAAAACAAATATAATAACTTCTGGTTTACTAACGTCTGCTAGTGAGGCAATAAGAAAAGTATAAAGAATATGTTTATCAAAAACAAACTATAACTCAGAAATTGCTTACTAGTGGGATATATCATAGAGATGTTAACACATTAACTTGCAAACCCTTAAGAGTTTTCACAGTGAGGCTTGGAGAAATGACACTGAGCAATCTGGAGCTTTTCTGATTACCCTACTCATCAATACCATTTTTTTATCTATGCCAAAAAATTTAAAAAGTTGGCAAGTAGTGATATAATTAACCCCAAACATGCACAATATATTTAAATCTATTTACAGGTAGCTCTGTTCATTACATGACGATTTTGCTAATAGAATGTCATCTTGTAATTAAAAGATCACTAGATAATGGTGAATACAAGAAGGGCTGGTAAAACTGTTTAGGAATGTCAAGTCCAAAAAGGCATAAAAGACTTTTGAGCCTATTCAAACAAAGTATGACTCTTATCTCTCCCTGGGAGACACATTTAAATATAAAGACATGTTCTTCAAAATACTAAGCCATGTTTTAACATGATTATTCGAAGAAACACAACAACATAGCTTGCCAAATAGAACTGAAAAATAAAAGAAAGGAAAGTTGCAATTATTATTCAGCATAGTTCTAGAAGTAAGAAAAGCAATAGGAAATGAGACATGAAAGTCTGGGTACAAAATGTACATTTTGATAGAACTGAACAAGCACAGTTGAATCATAAAGTATTTGTACATACTGGGAAAAATAACCATTATATTTTTGTATTAATCTTTATCAGCTCACTTTCAGAGTTGTTTAAACTTAGATGCATACAGAGATTTCAAATCACATATTTCTTTTATTGATCATAATTATATAGGCAAAGAAGACACATTTGGAAAATGTTTGGTATTTCTCTATATAGATCTCAACCAAAACACATTGATCCTTTATTATTATTTTTTTGTTCCAGTCCTGGGTATTGAACTCAGGGCTTGGGTTCTGTTGTTAAGATCTGTTTGTTTGTTCAAGGCTAGCACTCTATCATCTGAAACATAGCTCCACTTTATTGGTGGTTAACTGAAAGATAAGACTTTCCTGCCCTGTCTAACTTTGAACTATGATCCTCAAATCTCAGACTCCTGGGCAGGCATAAGCCACTGGCACCTAGCCTGATAGCTTATTTTTAAAATTTAATTAATTTTATTTTTTATCACTAAGTAGTTGTACTAAGGAGTTTCTGTGAGCTGTTTTACATGGTTTGTTTTGAATATTAACTAACAAAATTTTTATTGAGTCTTTAATAATTACTCCTTTGTCAAATAGATCAGCTTAATTCCATAGGCAGCACAAAACAAATCCACTATGAGTAAATTCATTATTGATCTTCAGATCACAATCAGAAAAAAAAAAGCTACAGAGTTCTAATTTCAAATGAATTGCAGCCATGTAAAGATCCTATTAAAATCAGAATTAATTTGTCTTTTGTTTCTTTTGTGGTACTTGGTTTATGCATGCTAGGCAAGCATTCTTCCACTAAGCTACCTAGCAAATCCAGAATATGTTTCTTTAACTAAGCAACTTGCCCCTCCCATTTTTCTTCCTATCTTAATCTTTCCCTTTAGTTCTTGTACTACTGCTGATAAAGACAACATTCTCCTAGTCTATTATACTGTAAACCTACTAAAGCAAAATTGTTACCTTGTCTTATTCACTTTTTAAAGAATTATAATGTCATTCTACAAAATCTCTACAAATCTTACAGACGAGTTCTATAAATGTAGAATGTATTTATTTCTGTAACATTTCACATTCAGTCTATCATGATATGTAGGATAGGTTGTACATTTTATAATTCTAAAGTCTCCCATTATCCAACTGTATAGGGAAGTGAAATAAGTTCAAGTTCCCTAAATTCATTTGTTTGCCTTATTAGAATTCACTATTGTATATACACATGCATACACACCCCACATCCCAACTAATTTTTTTGGCTTTGATGGACTGTTTCTTATTAATCTCAGATTCTTAGATACAAAAGTGAGAAGCACATGACGCATGTTTCCTTCCAAGCCTTTGTCTCCCCATCTATAAAGGTTTTACGTTGTTGTGTCAAAGTGTGTATATATGTATGTATGTATGTATGTATGTATGTATGTATGTATAATTTTCATTCCTCTAATACTTGATGAAAAATTGTAAGCAATGTAATACATAACTTTCATAATTCAGTGAAAGGTTTTCTGATGTTTAGTAGACCTGGAGTCAGTCCCACCTCTGTTATTTAGTAGCTATACCTCCTTGGGCAATTAATTAACCTCCCCAGGAATTACTTTATCTCTACATATGGTTGACAATATTTGCTTCATGGTGTCAGGAGTAATTAATGAGGCATAGGTTGCATAGTCTTGAGGCAGCCATACACTAAATGTCCAACAAATATTAGCTAAACATAATAATCTTCAAAAATGTAAGTGTTTGTGGTAGCATACTATTCCATCAAGTGGAAAATAAAAAGTTATTTTTGAGATATAGACAGTTTGGCATTTGACAAAAAATTATTACTATATCCACAAACTTTAAATTCTGATTTTAATCACTTGTATTCAATGCTTATCTATTGTCCCTGAGTGGGATAGCTTCTCATTAAAGTCCTGTGTGGAAAGGAAAAAAAACAAAGTATATCATTATACCATTAATACACTAACATTTAAATAGCAGTTCCTAACAACTATGATCATTTCTGTGACTCCTACACATGTAACAGTTTTTAAATGTCTTGTTCCAAAAGAATAATTTTAAAATAGAAAGTTAGGTTCAGCCTATCATTTCCTAAAAACAGGACTAGCAAACAAATGTTTAATGGAACACTTCCACTGTCTCCAGATTTAAGTTCATTTATCAATTTATCTTACAATTACCTTGTCTAGTAATTTATTATTTTATACTTTGCTTTGTACCAAATTTCACAAAGTACATCTTATACAGTATTAAAGATAGAAAAGAAATAAGAATTTGTAATTTTAAAAAATTTGCAGCTGCTGCATTCAATAAAGTTAAGCAGCTTTCTTTATTGTAAACTACTCAAAGCTTCTGTATAAGATTGAGGATCACCAATTTAAAAAAAATTGCTGCCATTGCTCTAGAACAGGTATATTCCAATAATTTTATACGGGTTCCTGAGATATGAACTTTGTACCTTTTACTCATTTGGAAAGGAAAAAGAAAACAAAAGAGAAAAGAAGAAATAACAAGTCATTGTGTATCTTAAGCTTTGGAATATACAGAAGAGAGAAGTTGTTTGTGCAAGGGGTTAAATATATCCACCCCAATATGTTTAAACACCTCATAGAAGGCGAAATATGCCCTTCAGAGCTCATTTGTTTTCATTGATTTTTAAAATAAAAAGTTAACATTCAGTTATTGTATTCAGTTATTCTGTACTTTTCCAATAACTTTGTTTCCAGAGGGAATGGTACCTTTATGAAAAAACAAAAACATACTATCTATCTCCAAATACTTCAGAATAGTAATCCACAGCAAGAAAATTTAGTAGTATTGGTTTTTCTGGACATGAATGATGATGTTTTAGATTGACTTGATGATTTTATGTCACTATTGCAATTTAAGGGTTTAGAGTCAGAATGTACAATCAAGAATAATATACTTTCACAAACAAATCACATAGGTAAACACTATTTACAAATATTTGAACTGGGCTGGGAAGGTGGCTCAGTGGTAGAGTGCTTGCTTTACATGCATGAGGCCCTTGGTTTGATTTCTCAGTCCCACATAAGCAGAAAAAAACAGAAGTGGTCTCTGTGGCTCAAGTGGTAGAGTGCTAGCCTTGAGCTGAAAAGCTGAGGGACAGCGCCCAGGCCCAGAGTTTAGGCCCCACATCCAGCAAAAAAAAAATTGATCATAGACTTTTAAAATCTAAAAACTTTTTCATTTTGAATGAGTTTATACTGAGTTTCATAATTGCAACCACTAAAGTAAAAGAATTAACTATGCTTTGTTCAAAAAGTTGTCATTATTTCAGAAAAACAATAGAATTTGTGGTATTTAGTATTGACTTGGACAAATCTATTTGTAACCATCATGTTCAGTCATTACATGTATTTGACTACTCCATTTTGTCTTCCAATGAAGTCAGGACAAAGCACTTTTATAATGCACATTACTATATCTCATTTTCCTTTGTACACTATTTATTTCATATTTTAAAATTATATGTATAAGCCAGGAGCTGCTGGCTTATGCCTATAATCTTATCTACTACGGAAGCTGAGATCTGAGCATCACTGTGAAACCAGTCCAGGCAGAAAAGGCCATGGGGCTGTGGTTCAAGTTGTAGAGTGCTAGCCTTGCGCACAAAAGCTCAGGGACAGCAGCCAGGCCCAGAGTTCAAGAACCAGGACTGGCAAAAAAAAAAAAAAGTGTGTGTTCTATAATTTTTTTATTTTTATTTCATATTATATCTTTTGTTTTTACTGTAGGACAATAAAGAAGCCATTATAAAATATTTGTTATATAAAAAAGCACTGGTATGCCAGATGAGGTTAGGGTGGTCACAGGGCTGAAAATTACTAAAGTAAACATAACAGTAATTTCCTGATTTTAAAAGGTGGCTTAGGCTCAGAGCCTCTTTTACACTCAGCTTCTATGTTTCTAAACCCCTGAGGAAACACACCTTTACCATGTCCTAACTTTCTACCATTGCACAGACCCTGCATGATCTCAAACTACCTCACAACCTACTGTAAGTGATAAAAAATACTTGGACCTCAAAGGAACATATTACACAGTCACTGCTACCAGAACACTTCATGAGCCCTCTGAATCTGGCAGCTTCCACAGTGGTGAGGTCACGTTTACCCTCTATACTGATACGGAACTCTGTGTTATATATTACCCTACATTTAGTAACAGAATTTTGCTAAAACACTTACCTCAGTAGTAGTTCCAATGTCTCCAGATGGGCTGCATGTGCTAGTATCTGGAGGAGCTGTACCTACACTGCTTCGAACTGGAGAACTAGGAACAGGGCCTGCCACTGTCTCTGGGTAGACTGAAGATGGACTGAGGTTGCTTCTCTTCTGAATCTTATTCCAGACCTTATTCATGGTATCAGCTAGTTCATAAAAGAGTTGGACCTGAGCAGGAGAGAAAACAGTTTTCAACATCTAGTCACAATCTATTAAAATGTAAACATAAGAAAATTCAACTGAAAAATAAAAGAATCAGCAAAACAAATACCTACCAACAGTTTTACTATTGATGATTTATTCATACTTATAATCAGTGTCATACACACAGCATATTTTATAATTAACCAATCACTTCTATGAATTAAAACAATGATAGTAAGCACCACTAATTGAGATATCAATAATGAAACAAATGTAAACATATCCGATATACTCAGGATAGAGTCAAACTTAGAAAACAAATATATAACACAAAATAATTAATGTATAAATTACAAAATGATTGCTATCCTTATTTCTGAATAATTTCCACATCTAAACATTCTTTAGTTTTCTAAGCTATAAACTGTATTTCCCACATGGCAAAACAAGTTGTAAAAGAATGATATAAAGGAGGTGGTGCTGTAGCTCAAGTGGTAGGGCTCTAGCCCTCAGCTAAAGAGCTGAGGGACAGCGCTCAGACCCAGAGTTCAAGCACCATAACCAACAGCAAAAAAAAAAAAAACCAGAATGATATAAAATAGAATTGGAAAAGGAAAAGGTTACATATGAGACTTTTTTTTTGTAAAGAACTTAGTCAATCTACTACTCCTCTGGGATTTGTACTTTCCAAATTCTGAAAAAAACTATTTTACTTGCACATTGTTTGACTGAGTTCTAAGATATTTATATAAGATTTCATAAATAAACATTAATCATGGAATTTGTATGACAACATATTGCCATATACTGTATAAAACAAGCTCAGGGAAAAATGCAAACATGATATATAAGCAAATCCACAGCTGGATACCATATTCTGTTGGCCATTTTTAAAAAGTGAAATTCTTATATTTATAAGACATTTCAGCTCCAGGACACATCCAGATGATGAAGCTGGCTTCTCATGTGGGCAGAACAGATGCATAAAAAAAGAGTGTCGATCCTTACTTGATGTAAAACAGTACTTGGGTTTAGAGTATTCTTCTGTTTTTTGAGTACTGATGTTATAAAATCTCAGGTTATAGGTATTTTTCTTTAAAAATACTCTAACGTCTAGAAAATGCTAAACACCTGCACAAAGAAAATGCTAAAAACCCATACACACAAAACTTCTGAGTGGAATTTTAGTTCAACATTTCTTCTCCTTCATAATGATAACTTTCCCCACTAAAAAGAAGCAATTTTGTTGCAAAACAAGTTCCCATTTTAATACTGATTTCTTAAAAGAACTTAGAATATGGAGAGTATAAACCAAAGAGAACAAGTTCTACATATATCTAAGAGCATGAGGCTTATTTATCTAAAATGCTGTTCTCTTGTTGCTACTTTTTTATTTTTTTGGTCGGTTGTAGGGCTTGAACCCTGGGTCTGGGCGCTGTCCCTAAGCTCTTCAGTTGAATGCTAACGCTCTACCACTTGAGCCACAGTGCCACTTTGGTTTTCTAGTGGTTTATTGGAGATAAGAGTCTCATGGACTTTCCTGCCCAGGCTGGCTTTGAACCATGATCCTCAGACCTCAGCCTCCTGAGTAGCTAGGATTACAGGCATGAGCCACCAATGCCGGGGCCTCTTGTTGCTACTTTTAACTGTAATCATTAAAAAGCTGTAAATGAATGTCAACAAGTATATTTTCTTTAAAGTACTAAGCAAACTATGACATAAATTTTAAACATATTTTTATTTTCAAAGAAGCAGCTAACAGAAAACTCAGGTTCTTCTCTCTCTCCTAAAAAAAAGTTACACCAATATTTGAGGATAAATATTTGAGATTCAATATTCAAATAAAATTGAAACACTTGGCCAATCAAAGCCATAATATTAGAATGTGTGCAATTAAAAACATAACCACTGCAATTATTAGCAAGAATACAGAACAACTTAACACTCATTCTCCTGGGATGACAATGTAAAATTATCACTTTAATCATTTTAGAAAAGGTCAGTTATATTTACTATAAGATTCAACCATTTTCCTCCTAAATATCCTCCCCTTCCTGTGAAAACCACTGTCTATAGAAAGACATGTATATAAATGTTTGTAACAGCAAAGGGGACAGGTAGAAAAATTGCCCTGTCTAAAGATCACCTATTCTATCCAGCATCATTTAAGGCTAGTTGCAACAATCTTGGGCTATGATTCACTTCAACAGTATAGATTAGGTAGCAGGGTAGATTTTGGTCCTAACCAGGACTAGAATGTAAACCCAAGATGCGACAGTAGCACTGGAGCCCATTAGCACATATGGGGACAAGTGGGACAGATGTGTTAGCAGTAAGGATAAAGAAAGCTGAATATTGTTGAAGTAATTTCTAACTAGGAAAATGGAATAAGGAAGCCTGTTGGGGGGACTATCTTTTAGGGTGAGAGGAGCAGAAAGTGTGGTTTAGGGGAATTAAATTGATTGAAATACAGAGTAAACATGTGAGGAGATGTAAGAATAAAAATTCCCCCTATGTAATTTATATAAGCTAATAATATCTTTAAAAAGACCAATCCTTAAAGCAAAAATTATAGTAAGCTGGGTGCTGCTCATTCCTGGAATCCTAGCTACTCAGGAGGCTGAGATCTGAGAATCTTGGTTCAAAGGCAGCCTGGGCAGAAAAGTCCATGAGACTCTTATCTCCAATAAACCACCAGAAAACCGGAAGTAACGCTGTGGCTCAACTAGTAGAGTGCTCGCCTTTAGCTGAAGAACTGAGGGACAGCTTCCAGGGCCCAGAGTTCAAGCCCAATGACCAACCAAAAAAAAAAAAATATATATATATATATATATAGTAAGAAGAATTAAAAACATGGCACTTCTATCATAAATGCAGCAGAAATATAAGAACAAATCTAATGAACAAAAGAACTGCAGATCATTCAGGTAAATGCCTAAAAGTGGGATTGCTGGGTATAGGGGAGCTCTAGTATGTCACTCCCCCTCCCCCATGGTATAACCCCTGTTTTCACTATATTTGATGTTGGTATAATTTGTTGAGGGGAAGGGAAAAAACTAATTGTTTAAATAGGGATACAGGACCCATTGGAACAATGAGATGTACAAGACGTTATGTCGAAAAATGAACTTTACAACTTTGGTGGGGGGGAATGGGAAGGGGAAACAAAGGAGGGGGCAACAATGCTTGATAAGAAATATACTCATTACCTTGCCCATCTAATTGTAACCCCTCTGTATGGTATTTTCACAATTAAAAAAAATTTTTTTAAGAATTACAGAGCTTAAAGATGGCCTCTGAAAATATATAATTGGAGGAGAGGAAAAACAAAGAATAATAGGAATCCAGAAGCCTTACAAGACCCTTGCAGCACTGGCAAGATGTCAAATATTTAGGTTAATGAGGTTTAAGAGGGCATTTAGAAAGCCATTGTTGTACAAAGATTTATTCAAGGAGACAGTAACATAAAACTCATCAAACCTGTGTTCAAGGATGTCTAATGTCAGCAGTCAAGAGGTCAAAAAATTTTGACATCAAGAGATATAGTCAAATAAGATGAATAATAGACATAAAGGCAAGGAAAAAAGTAACACTTAAGAGTGCTCAAAGGGTAAGCAAATGCAGTCATTATATTGTACATTATGAAAAATTTAATTTTTATGTAACTTGAGGGTAGGGAAGGGAGGGGGAAATGGGTGAGAAGGATGAAAGGGGTGGCATTGTTCAAGATGCACTGTACAGTACATCTTATGGAATTGTAACTTCTTTGTACAACCACATAATACCAATAACAACAATAGTGTTCCAATTTGCCCAAGAGCATACTTGTCAGCAGAAACCTTAAAGACCAAAGAAGAACAGTACAAAATTTTTTACAGAACTGAAGGAAAAGATTGCCATCTGTACTTAGCAAAGCTATAATTTAGAAATAAATAAAAAATGAATACATTTCCAGAGAAACAAAGGCTAAGAGACTGCATCTATACTAGAAAATTATTTTTTAAATGATCAATTATTCTGAGATAAAGAAATATGGCTTACTGGTAGAGTGCTTGCCTAGCATGCATGAGGCCCTGGGTTCAATTCGTCAGTACCATATCAACAGAAAAGCCAGAAGTAGCATTATGACTCAAGTGGTAGAGTGCTACCTTGAGCAAAAGAAGCTCAGGCACAGTGCCTAGGCCCTGAGTTCAAGTCCCAGGACTCATGCAAAGAAACTCGCAACAACACATAAATTAATAAGAACAAATCATCAGAAATCTATCAATGAACTGTAATTCTACAAATTAAGAATGTTTTAATATTAAGCACAGTATGTAAAATACTCATGTTTCACATATATATATATATATACTCATGTTATATATACATATTTATGTATATGCACCTCAATGTATAAGCATAAACCAAGCATTAATAGGTATAAAGGGGGAGAAAAATACTGATAAATATTCAGGAACTTTAACACACTACTTTCAGCAATGGAGAGATTTTCAGTCTACAAATTTGCAGAAAAACAATAGAATAAATGTACTTAACAAGCATATATATAATGTTCCATCTAATAATTGCAGAAGATACATTCTTTCAATAGTACATGAAGGTCCTCCAAGATAGAAACCATACAAAGTATCTTTTCAGACTAAAATAAAACAAAACTGGAAAATAATAATCCAAACTTTAGAACATATATAAAAAATGAATATTAAACAAGTTGCTATTGAATATCCAAAAAAAGCAAGAAGAAATCAATTAAAATATTTCTGGAAATAAATGACAATGAAAACATGACATCTCTCTCTCTCTCTCTCTCTCTCTCTCTCTCTCTCTCTCACACACACACACACACACCCCACACACACACATGTAATACTAAAAGGGAATTTCTTTAGCAATCGCAATTCCTGTATCAAATATCTCAAACAACCTATTAATATATCTCAAGGAAGTTAAAAAAAGGAAGAAAACAAAGAGAAAATCTGTAATAGGAAAACAATAATAAATCAGAGAAGAAGACTAGAGAGTAGAGACCTAATTCTGATATAAAACCAGATGAAAACACAACAACAACAACAAAAAGCTAAAGGGCATAAATGCAGAAGTTTTCAAATAAACACTGATTATCAGAGCACACTGGAACCATTATTCACAATGACTGACTGGGGTTCATCTCATGGACATAAGGAAAATCCAACATATGGAAGTCAGTAACTGAGATTCATTACATGAAGAGAATAAAAAAAATTCTATATGATCATGTTAATAGATGAAGAAAAGCATCTTATGAAACTTAACACACTTCAATGACAAAAGTGAACAAACCAGGTCTAGAAGAAATACACTTCAATATAATAAAGGCAATGTATAATAAGCCAAAAGCCAGCATCCTAAGAAAGGAAGAAAAAAAAGGAGGTTATCTCCAAGGAATGAAAAAAAAAAAGTATTCATTTTCACCACTCTTCTTCAGCAAAGCACAAGAACTCCTACCTAAAGCAATCAAACATTCCAAATCACAAAGAAAAAAAGGAATTCAAACATTTACTGAAATGACATAGTTTTTATAGATAAAAATCCTGATGTCTCTACTAATAAAGCATCAGAACTAATAACTAAATTCAATAAACTTGCAGGACACAAAATCTATACACAGAGCCGGGTGCCAGTGGCTCATGCCTATAATCCTAGCTACTAAGGAGACTGAAATCTGAGAATCACAGGTCAAAACCAGCCCAAGGCAGGATTGTCCATAAGATTCTTATCTCTAATTAACCATCAGAAAACCAGAAGTAGCACTGTGGCTCAAGTAGTAGAGCACTAGTCTTGAGCTGAAGAGCTCAGGACAGTGCCCAAACTCAGAGTTCAACTCCCACGACTGACAAAAAAAATAATAAAAATATATATGTATATACATAGAAAAAATATATTAAAAAAGAAATCAGTAGCATTTCTATAACTATGAGTCAATTACTTGAAATAGGAATCAAACCCATCCATAATAATAATGATGAGGAAAAAATGAAATACCTCTACAAAAAAATTACAAAAGTTGCCAGAAGAAACTGAAGACACACATAAACAAGATAGCCTGTAATCAAGAATTAGAAAAAAATCAATATTAAATTTCCCATACTACCCAAAGCAACCTACATATTCAATGCAATCCTCATCAAAATACCAATGATATTTTTCACTGAAATAGAAGAAATAATCCTAAAATAAGGCTGAAGCCACAGTAACAAAAAAGAATCCAAAAAAACAAAACAAATGAAAACACTCAGCAGCTGAAGCTGCACAGGGTGCAGAAGCTTTACAGAAAACAAGGAAAAATGCACGAGTCATTATAGTACCTGATTTAAAAATATACAACAAAAACCAAAATACAATGATTGTACTAGCATTAAAAACAGAACAATGAGACCTAGAAGTGAACACACAAATCTACAGTTTTTTAAAAGGTGCCAAGAAAAATACAAGGAGAAAGGCCAATTCTTTCTGAATAAATGGTGCTTAAAAATGAAACCAGACTCTTCTATCCCTCACCATCTACCAAAAAATGAGTTAAAGACTGCAGCTCTATCAGTTCTGCCATTGACATGCTACTCACTCTATGTCTCATCATATCACATTCTGCTTTTGTATTTAAATTTCTGCTTTTTATAAGGATGTGATTGATAATTTCATTTTAATTTGCTTACCTGTCATAACCTTATTACTACATATGGTCATATTCTAATATACAGGGGATAGGACATTTTTACAAGGAACACAATACTATCTATAAATTTCCATTCCTCTAGGAAACACCTCAAAGCAATCATTACTAGTAACACTCAGAGAGTAATCTATGAGATGGTAAATCAACTTATAATCACTCTCTTCTCTACCACTATGAGTCATAATGACCATTAAACAGAACCATTTAATGTTATTCAAAAGTATTTACTAATGATTCTAAAAATGCCTTATATTTGGGGATATTCTGTTAAGTTTTTGTCAGGGTTGTTTTAACAGCTGTCTTGTTTAGTGTTTACATTTTTAACACTGACCCTTACTAACATAATAGATAATTCAATCTTTCCAAAGTAAACAAAAACACATAAAAGTTAAACCAAACTGTATAGTATATGGAAGATGGAGAGGACCAAGAAAAAAGGAGAGGAAAAATAGTATTAAGTATGCTCTATAAAATATTCATTGATGACAGAAATTACCTAAAAATACTCTGAAAATGAGCTAAAAACTAGTAAAGTCAGAATAGAGTACTTGTAAGGTCTAATAATATTCTAAAAAGAGTTGTTTTAAAAATCACAACAGTGATTATATAAAAAATATAATTCAACCTACTTGAGTTTAATGAAGGAATTTACAAATTTCATGTAATTAATAATTTTCACAAACCCAAGTAATGTTAAGTCATATTAAAATATACATTTGAGGAAGTGGCGCTGTGGCTCAAGCGGTAGAGTGCTTGCCTTAAGAGCTGAGGGACAGCGCCCATGCCCAGAGTTCAAGCCCCACAACTGACAAAAACAAACAAAAGAAAAAGAACATATGAGAAATAAAGTATGATTGGCTTAATGCAACTGAAAACAAATGGATTTGTGATACAGTATACAGTAGTATCATTTGTTTTCTTAAAATATATCAGGATAAGGAAGTTTGATTGAAAATTTTACGTGATCACTTCAATAGGTCATTCTAGTCTATTTTTGGGGGGGGGGTCCGGTTGTGGGGCCTGAACTCTGGGCCTAGGCACTGTCCTTCAGCTCTTCAGCTCAAGGCTAGCGCTCTACCACTTGAGTCACAGCGCCACTTCTGGGTTTTTTCTTTTTGCTTATGTGGTGCTGAGGAATTGAACCCAGGGCCTCAGGCATGCAAGGCAAGCCCTCTACCACTGAGCCAACTTCCCAGCCCAATCATTCTAGTCTAATAGTAAGATGTTCTTCACTGTTTAAAAACATCACATCCGATGCTGATTTCATACCATTATCCAATAGAAGCATTTATTCTGAAATTGATATCTCTTTAGAAAAATTTGTATTACAAATTCTGAAAGGCTTCCAAAGCAATTCTTAGTTTAACCACTCTTTGATAGTCTGGTTAAAATATAAATTAGAGTACTTAACAGAAGAAGCACTGTTCAAAAAACAAAAGGATGATAATGGTTTTTAAAATATACTACTTTTTAACATTCCTTTCATAAGTCAATTATACCAACCTGGGGATTTGAACATTTTATCTCCAGTGATTCTAGGTCAACATGGAGACAGACAACAAATGAATGTCTCACATCAGGTCCTGTAGGAAGTAGTTTCTGAGATGTTACAGCTAGAGTAGAGGTACAACCCATAGGTTCCACAAGACAAAGTGTTACTTGTTTTCCAAGAAGGGTATATATGCTGAAGTGATGTAAGTTGATGGTCCAAGGAAAAGCATCACCTGATAAAGGGAACAAAAGAGAGTAGGAGAGCAGAAAACAAACAAACAGTTAACTGTCACATTATAGTAAATTACCAATTATTTATACTACAAAATCCTTAATATTGTATTATACTGCAAAATATTTAATACTGCATCATAAGCAAAGAGAGTATCAAGAGACTAACGTGTCCAATAATTTACATGCTCTTTAAAAGCAATTATTTATATTTATACTTACAATATACTTCAATTTTAGTAATTATATATATTACAACAAATATGTGAATAAAAATAGCTTTAAAATGGAAAATATAAGTTTTCATATGCTCTTCTATCTACTATTGGGTTGCACAGTATAAATTGTTAGAGGCATATGAACCATATCATGGAGACTACTGAAAATAGATTAAATTAGGAAAATTCTCATGGAAAATAACTTGACTTGGCTGTGGTATGAAAAATAAGAATAATAAACAACTGACTATGTTTTGTTGCAGAACTTACATGAGAATTATGTGCTTACTTAAAACGGAGGTTTCTGGGTTCTAATTCATAATTACTTAGAATTTATGTGTTTCAATATAACTCCCTAAGTGATTCATATGTGTAATATAATTTTTTTCTAATATATACACTTAACAAAATTTAGCACTCATAATATGAAGTATTAAAAGTAATGTAGCTTTTATTCTTTGATACTTTTAATCTGTCAATAATTTATCTAGGATAGATTTGTTAATATAAGTTTCTGAGATAAAATTGCTCAGTTATTATTATGCCTAATATGCCTAATAGATTAAGTAACATAGTGAAATCATTTCTAAAAGCTCATTTATGGGCTAGTGAAGTTGTCACATAATCCTTGATTTTAAGTAGACACAGGTAAGAGACTTCTGGTAAAAGGTTGACCTGGGCAAAACACTAAAGGCATAGCAAATGTAAGGCCCTTAATTCTATTTCAGTGTCACCAAAATAAAAGAAGCCCACTTACATTAGAATATTTGAAAATGCTTATTATTGTCATGTCATTTTCTGAAAACATGTTCCTATCACATAGTCTGCCTTTGACATTAAACTAGCACATGTCAATATAAATAGGATAGTGTACGGTTCTTTTCAAATAATTTAATTATTTAAAATAGAGAACATTAGTTTATTTTCTCATCAGAGAAGAGCTTACTGACACAGAAATAATTTAATATATTAAATATATAAATGAGATAATATCAAAACCAGTCATAAATGCACCTTCTGCACTGCCATTCACAATAAAATTATAAATATTTTCTATATTTTTCCATTCTGGGTAGTGAAGTATCCAAACAAAAGACCAGGCTCACAGAGTTGTTATACTTCCATTTTTTAACCACTTAAGAAAAAAATATCAAGTGAATTACTAAGTAGAGTATGCTATATGTTTTTAAAAAATCAAAATGTGCTATGATACTATAGGTTCCACTGTATAGTAGATGATCATTAAGTGTGCACATTCAAAACATCCTCACCAAACAGTAAAATTAAAAGCTAACAAACATTCAAATTGTCTCACTTGACTAGAACAATAAAAAATGAATAATAATATCTGGGCAGGATAGTTGTACTTAGCTTGCTTGAACATAAAATATTTTGCCAACAAGAAACAATTAGGCAAAATATCTATTCAAGATTAAAGGCTAGAACAAAGTCTGCAAGCAAATGGCCTTCATAAATAGGCTAGAGTAGCAATACTAATATCAGATAAAACTTTTCAAATTAAAATTAGTCAAAGAAACAAAGAAGAACACTTCATATTAGTAAAAGAAACTATCAGGAAAACCTAAGAATTCTAAATATCTATGCTAGGGCAACCAAACTCATCAAATACTAATTGACCTAAAAAATATAAATAGATCCAAATGTATTAATTACTGATGACTTCAACACACTATTGTTACCCATTGGATAGATCATTCAGGCAAAAACTTAGCAAAGACACTGCAGAATTAAATAATTGTATTGACCAGTTGGACTTAACAGACATCTACAGAATATTCCACCTAGCAGTGTTAAAATACATATTCTCAGAAGCCCAGCGAATATTCTCCTAAACACACCATATCCTAGGGTTACAAAGCAAATCTCTGCAAATTCAAGAAAACTGAAATTATTCTCTGTATTCTGACAGACCACATTGGAATAAAATTAGAGTTCAACACCAAACACCATTACAGAAAACTCTTAGACTCATGGCAACTGAACAAAACACTGCTGAATGATCAGTGAGTCATGGAAAAGATAAGACGGGAAATCCAAAAGTTTTTGGAAATCAATGTAAACAAACATAACACCTACCAGAACCTCTGGGACACACCTAAGGTAGTATTAAAAGGATGTTTGTATCAATGGGCATATACTTAAACAAATTAGAGAAATCTCAAAACTTTAATGATGTGCCTCAAGCTCCCAGAAAAATAAGAACAAGCCAAACACAAAACCAGTAGATAGGAATAAGTAACAAAAATTAGATCAGAAATAAATGAATTAAAGACAGAGTCAACAAAACAAAATGTTGATTCTTTCAAAATAATAAAAAAAATTGGCAGGTCCTTAGCAAACCTGATTAACAGAAGAAATCACCTGGATAAATAAATTAGAAAGAAAAATGGGGATATCACATCAGATAATAAGCAAAATTCAGATTATAAGGAAAGAATTTGCAAACCCAATTGATGGCAATAAACTGGTGAATCTGGCAGAAATGGATACAGTTCTCTGAGAACATAATTATATCTAAATTGAACCAAGAAAACAAACCAATTAAATAGATCCATAACAAGTAATGAAATTGAAATTACAATAAAAGACTGATCGTCCAAGTAAAGTCCAGACCTGATGGGTTTACAGCTGAATTTTACAAGGCCTTAAAGGAGAACACCAATACTCCTCACACTCTTTGGTGAAATAGAGAAGGATCACTAACAAACTCATTCTATGAGTTTTCCCAAAACCAGGTATAGGAACCCATGAAAACTTAGAGCTATAGTTCCATCTTTTAGATGAGCAAAGATTCAAAACTTCTCAATAAAATATTGTTCAACTAAATTCAATTAGGATCAGATGGGATTCACCCAAGGACTCAAAGCTGGTTCAACATACATAAATCAATAAATGTAATACAACACATCAACAGAAATAAAGACAAGAATCATGTGATCATCTCAATAGGTGTTGAAAAAGGTTTTGACAAGATGCAATATCCTTTTATAATAAATGCTTTGAGGAAGTGTTTTCTACTAGAGGTCATTTGGATACTTATAACATCAAGTATAATAGGACTACACAAAATTATCAAAACAAGCAGATGGCCTCAGACATCACACAAAAAATAGGAAAAGACTACAAGTCTGTTCTCTAATATTTTGATTTTGGCCTACAGGCTGTACAATCCATTGATCCTTAATGAAACAATGTCAGCACATTATAAGCTCTGACAATAAGGGAGGAAAAAAGAAAGGCTTCTCAAGTCATTCTTTAGGAATACTGAAGACAAATATTCCTAATATGAATAAACCTATGTAGCACTTTATGAAAAGGATGGCACATTGACACCAAATGGACAATTCTAGATGTACATTATATCCTTCATTAGTTATCTAATCATGCAAAATTACTTAATTTAAGGTTGGCCAATATATATAATAGCAGAAAAGTACAAAAAACTGATCATCTCAATAAATTTATAAAAGTATTTGACAAAATTTGAAAGCAACTCGTAATAAAAACTCTTCATAAACTATTAATAGAGCCGGGCACTGGTGGCTCATGCCTGTAATCCTAGCTACTCAGGAGGCTGAGATCTAAGGATCGCGGTTCAAAGCCAGCCCGGGCAGGAAAGACCGTGAGACTCCTATCTCCAATAAACCACCAGAAAACTGGAAGTGGCGCTGTAGCTCAAGTGGTAGAGCGCTCGCCTTGAGCTGAAGAGCTGAGGGACAGCGCCCAGGTCCAGAGTTCAAGCCCCACGACCGACAAAAAAAAAAACCAAAACTATTAATAGAATGGATTATTCCCCAAGTAATGAATAGCATCTATGAAAAGTCCACAGTACTGTATTTGAATGTGTGTGTGTATGTGTGTGTGTGTATATGTGTGTTACTAGGAATTGAATTCAGGACTGCCTTTAGATCTCTACACTTGTCTGGCACTCTACTAGTTGAGCCACACACTAGCACATCTTTTTGCTCTTTTTTCTAGAGATGAAGTCGGCCTGACTTTTCTGCCTTACTTGGCTTTAAAACCACAATTCTCCAGATCTCAGTCTAGTAGGACTGTCTATTCTTACTAGTTCTATGCAACACTAGAAAAGAGAGTCTAGCTAATGTATTGTAGTAAAAAAGAAAAGAGAAAGAACTAAATACCATACAGATGATATTAATTTATTATTAATTAATAAATAATTTGATAACAGCATTAGATAAAATAAGAGTAAATAAAATAAAGGAAGTATAAAACATATATTAAAATCTACAAAACAATGGTTAATAAATCCTAAGAAAATGATGAAACATTCTACATTCATGGATCCAAAGACTCAAAGTGATCAAGATACCAAATTTCCTATTATCCAAAAAATTCAAAATAAGTCTTACCAAAATCCTAGCAAGTTCTTTCTGTAGAAATTATTAAGTAAATGTTAGTATGTTTATAAAAAGGAAAAAGACACAGAACAAACAAGAGTTTTTCAACAAAAAAGGAACTTTGATAACTTCTATGATCTAATTTTAAAACTTTTGATAACTACAGTAATGAAAATTGTATGGTACTGTATGCCAGATAAGAACAGTAATGTAGATCAATGGATTAGGATTAAGAGTCTAGAAAGGAATTAACATTAATAATTAACTAAATTTTAACAACCATATCAAGAAAATTCAACAGAGAATGTATGAATTTTTGAGAAAATAGTAATGTGCAAATGTAACATAAGTCACCTTAGACTCTTGCTTCACAGAATATACAAAAAAATACCTGTAAGTAAG